CTGACAGACACTTCTCTATAGCATCATGGAAACAGCTCTATCATATACAAATATATGCACACTGTATACAAACCTGACCCTAACTTGAAACAGATTGATGCTGGCTTTGTCATCTGTGTTACACAACCCAGTCCAAAATCCAGTTGAGGACAGTTATTTATTTTTTAAGCTATAAACACTGCCGGCAAATCATTTTGCCCTTTAGATTAGAAGCTCGGATCGTATTTGTATAAATATCCTGTTGCAAAGAGGAAGACTTTATAACCACTGTAACAGGCAGCTAAAAAGTGATGACAGCCTTAACCCTTCCGGAGCTGTGCTCAGCAGAAGAACGTGCTCTTCAGACAGTGGCTGGGGAGGGCACCCTGACGTCCACATGTGTCTCATCACATTGGAGGAATCTTTCCCAAGTTCTCGTATTTCATTCCAGGTGCAAATGAAACTGTTTAATAAACTCTGGCCATTAAGGTATGGTATCTGCCTTTGATCACTAGCACAGGCCTCTGTGTTTTTCATAGATCGGTTGTTTAGACAGTGGGGGAGTGTTGCGAGGTCTGCATTAACAGGATATTTACACTTGAAAACACACTGATGATCCAATCTGAGGACTAACATCTTTGATCAGCCACAGACTGCCTTCCCTCCCTGCTCCTGACCTGACACCTCGCTGGGTGAGAGCGAGGAAACATTGAGAAAGGAGAAAAAATTAATGATCTGTTTCCAGAGACAAACTAATTTCCTCCTTTCCCTTGCAAAGGTCTCACTTACATAGCAATCCAATCCAAAAGCTATTGGAAGTCACAGAGGGCTTTTCTGGTCTTCCACAAATCCAGTTCTTCACCTCAGAAACAAGGCCGTGCTTAGCCCAAGAGGGACAAGCATCATCTCCCCACTTTCTACACATACCAATAGAAGGAAGAAAAAAAAAAAATTGGAAGAAGAAAAAATCCCACTCCAGCTTTCAGACAGGCCACAGTCTATCTCGATAACCAAAGCCATCCCACTCAGAGTAAACCAGAGGCCACCACAGCACTGCCATGCTCATCTCCACTCCGCAGCCAGAAATCCACACAACCAACAGCTGACCTATCCTGAAGGTTTCATTCATCTCTCTGCAACGTCCCACTGGCATCCCCAGCAGTTTGTGCTACGACAGAATGCGGCTGCGAGCCGTGGTTTGGTTATAAAACAAAAGCTTAGTTTCCAGGCACTATTTTTTTTTAACCTTACGAAAGGGTGGAAGGAATGGGGAGATGAAAATATTACTGACACAAGTGAGTCAGTATTAAAAATGTTTTCTTTTTGAAGAGAGAATGTGCTCAGACCACACTGTCCACAATGTGTGTTTCATTGCCTGGAGACTCCGTGAGTATCGCTTTCATATTTCTGATTGCTTTTAACATGGAGAGTGCCAAGTTGCTCCCTGAAGGTTTCCTGCTGTTTCAATAAGCATTGATCTCTAGCATCCACACTCTTTCTGTACACACCCCTACCTAGGAGACAGTCTCAAATGGCTGCATATAATCTTTTCTTTTAGCCTTGCCTATGTTGGCAAAAATAAGTTTGATAATTCAGCAGAAGGTCGAGATTTTAAGTCTCAGGTTTTGCTTTGCTTGTGGCCAACATGCTGTGCCCTAGGGAGTTACCAGCAATGCCCAGTGATTCTGCTAAACAGAGCTCACATCTGGATTGGAGTCACACGCCGATGCTGTTATTCCCCAAATTATCTTCTTGGTTTTTTGTTTAAGGAATTCTGAACTCAGCCACTCCCTTAAACTTCATCAAAGCAAAGGGATACTTCCATGCTCAGGTGATAATTTGGATATACTGAATCTTCCTCTTTACCCCCTTTACAGATCTCCCACCCTTGCAAACTCATTTCTTTGAGAGGAATGGAAAAGTTTTTTTCATTTACATTTTTTTCCCTCAGTGGTGCACACTATCTTAACCAGGAGGTTAAAATCCATTTATGCCAAATGCCCTGGTAAGTGTTGTTTGCAACCAGAAGTATTTTAGTATCTACAAATAATTGTCACAGACAACTGTTAACCTCATAAAAGCCACAATTACGATGGTGCCTTTGAACTTTCTGTTGAAACTGTCAACATTGTCTGAGCATCATTTTCTGTGGACTTCAGAGGTGAACTTTCCTGAGCAGAAGGAATAGTTGCCAACAGGACAAGACAAAGGAAGTTGCTACTTCAACTCCTTATATGTCACCTGCTAGCTCACGAGTTAAACTTCAAGATCAGTACAGACTCTTCTTTATGCAATAAAATATCATCATATGTCAGGAAATATCAGGCTGTTATTCAAACTTTTAGTCTAAAGGAAGTGTGACACAATATTTTTTTTTAAGTCAAAGGCAGCTGTTATTTTTTGGCTCATAAGTTGTCCACTAAAATGCAACAGAAGCCTTACAAATATTTAGCAAGTTCCTTCAAAAAATAGTGCTAGGTTTTTTTTTTAACCTTCTACAGTTTTCAGCAGGAAAAGAAAAGCCACAATTCCAAATTAGTTCACTCCCCCAGTAAAAGCAAGTGAACTGATGATAAAAACAAAAGCTACTCACAGAATACAACTCCTTTAGGCATCCTAGAAGAATCTGAGGCAAAACAAACAACCAAAGAGAAAAGATTTTTCCCCCTACTAAAAGATATTAGCAAACAACTATGACTTCTTACTATTTTTTTTTCAGGAATGTTTATCATCCACAGCCTACCCATGTCACCAGTGTGGCTATATGTTTGAATCTCCAGCAGGAAAAGCACCTAACAGAGTCAGAAATTAAACTGAAAACAACGCTGAGGGTAAGCAGCTTCTAACACCCTAAATGTCTTTTACCACCTGCATATTTTAATACTGAGAGGTTGACTGAGATATATACTTGTATATACAGATACGTACAGAGAATTCCTAGGTGTGTACACATTTATACACAAGCACGGTTTCATATGTTTTTGTATATTTAATATAAACACAGAACAGTCCTTTGGGCTGAAAGGACAATGTGTAAAGAAGGTCATATCCTTTTCACAGCTGCAAGAACCAGTGAGCCACATTTTGCCACTCTTGATGCACAGATGGTGTGACAAGTCCTGTAGACTCACCCGAATCACGAGTTCCTTTAGCCAAATATATCCCTCCTTCCCACCAGCAAAAATAAATAAATAAAGGAGAAAAAGAAACAAAAAGGGAGCCTGGAGAGACTGGATGAGTCAGAGGTCAGTAATGAACTACAGACACTCATCTCTAGGTCAGCAGTTCACAGTGTGCCCATGGCAGGGAGGATGGTGAGCTTCTGGCAGTCTGGACCCAGATGAAGCTACCTCACCATTTCCAGTCCCCATAGCATGTCAAACAGCAGGAGGAAGGAGGATCAGTTTATTTCATCATGAAAGAAATGATACACTCACCAGCTTCCCACTCAGTCTAGTTTGGAGACCAGCATCCAAGCAGCTGCTCATTACATGTAAAGGCTTTTGCAGCCAGCTCTGCCCAGCACACATCAAGGCTGAAGCACTTCCTTCCAAAGAACATGAACTGCAACTTCACTGCACAATCTACTTTTTACAATTTTCTGGCATGTTGCTCGAAATAAACATAGAAGGTGCCAGCATCATTCCTGTATACAGAACTAAGAGCTAACTTCCTAACAAAGATTTCATGAATTTGTTAGGAAGGTTTGTCTATCCTGTGATTTATTCTCTTTCTTGCAGTGTATTACTGGCCTGTTCAGGTTACTCTAAAATATTGTTATAAACACATAAAAGTCATCATTTCTCTTTAAAAGAGGAAGGCCTGACCTACTCTGTGCTCTGCTTTGCTGACCATCACCAAACAGCTTACGTACCACTTCCATCAACACTTGGGAGAGATTTTCCTCCAGATCCAGAGATGGCATCTGTCTAAATAAAATCTAAAACAAGCCAATACTCACAATTATTTTTTTTTCCCCATAGATGAACAATGCAGATAACATCTATAGAATGTGCATGACCATCTGACTTCCTTCTGTTCTTCAAGTGGCAGTGAGGTAATGTTAGCCCAGAAGACACTCCAGCCTACTCACAAAAGGAACAATGTCCCTCAAAACACGTTCCTCCCTAAAACATATGTAATATTTCTGTTTTCCCAAAGGCCACACTCCCAAACAACAACAGTTAGCTGCTTGATGTTGCCCTCACAACAGCTCTTCATCAAAAAATCCCCCAAATGGCACCACTGGAAGGCTGGAAAAAGATGGGCCAGAAAAGAAAACATCTAGAAAACCTTCACAGAAAAGAGATGGAGATTTATTTTAAACACCTCCTATTTTTAAACATCTCCTGATTTTATTTTTTTTTAAACTCTGCAGGAAAGTAACAGTTATAGTTCTGACATGCTTCACCAGTACTAGTGAAATATCTTTGTACCACAGCGCTCACTGACATTTAATTGACCATGCATCTCCATCTTTCTTTACCTTGCATAATTCCTTCATCGGAAATGTTACCATTTTAAAGTTAATCAACCAGTTTACTCTTCTTTGGATTTCTGTGTCACTGTTTCTACCTCTCACTCTTGCCTACCACATCACCACTGAAAGCCCATGAATGGTTTTGCACCTGTGGTCAGCACGTTGAACTTTCTTTTGCCTTATTTGTTTTAGAGTTGGTCTAGTGGAGAGTAGGTCAAGATTGCACTAATCACTTGTCATTTGCAAAATAGCTATGATTTTTATTCAGGTAGTATCAAGATGAAATGGGATACACGTATTTCAGTATGCATGAGCAGTGCCAGAATATAATGGTTTAAAATTCTGCGGCCTCGCACCAGATTCTTGCTCTTTGTAATGCCATCAAAAAGGTCACACCATGGACTTTCTCAGCTGAGGCCCATTTTGCAATCTAGTACGCCCATTTCCCACAAGGGAAGCACTGTGCAGCAACATATCATTTAGTCCCATTGAGCATTCCTTCTGGCATTATCCCTCCCCAGAACAGGAGGTGATGGCCTACCTGTTTGGATGTTCCTGCAGCACTTGGTAGATGTTGATAAGGAAAGTTTGGTTTTTAAAGCTCTCCACAACGCAGTCCTTGTAGATCCGAAACTCGGCAGCTGTGACAGCCTCGCCCTCGGGAATCTGAGACAAATTGAACTTGAACTCCTTGTGGTGCTGCTGGTGAGGGGTGAACTCCTTGTCGTACTCAACTGCGGATGGGAAAGAAAAGACAAAAATGAACCGTGAATAAAACTTAACAAAAAATGGACTCCACAAGCTGCCACCTGTTCCTTCAAGAAAACAGGAATCATGTTTATTCTCCACACACAGCCTTGGTATGTGCCAAGAAAGCTTATGCAGCTAAGGTCTTTCAAATACAGTACTTGGAAAAGATGAATGTTCATCTTCTCTAGCCTGTTCCTTTGAGATTTCTTTTTTTCTTTCTTTGACTAGTGAAATATGACCATGCATTTTTCTCCTGATTAAATCCACAGGAACTCTGAAGCTATGACCTCCCTTGGCATGTTCCACCCATGGATCTCCATACTCTTTATGGCATTTCCATAAGTCTCACACGCCTCCTCCAGCAGTGGAGACCATTAACTCCAATTTGGTTTATAAAGGCAAAGACAAAATTAAGTGCTAGCAGGCGGTCAATTTGTTCACTAATGATCCTAAAAGCTGCTATTTTCTTGCTCCCAGGTTTCTGCTTTAGCCATGAGACCTCCTTGTGATTTGAGTAAGACTAACATGGCATTCCTCTCAAGGGCTAGGGCCAACCAAACACTTGGGTGCCCCTTCCTTTTGCACGAGCTTATTTGAGCCTGAGAGGACCAAGAAGGGATCAGCTTTTCTACAGTCAACCTCCCTGGCCTCAAACCTCCTCAGGCAAGCTGTCATGTACAAAGTTTCAGGTGCAAACAAGAAACCTTCCTCCTCCTGGCCTGAGGATTTGCATTTTCTCCGTTTTGGGTGCCCTTTGCAAATTCAACTTCTCATCCCAAGCTTGTATCATTTGACTGCAACTAGTTATAGTCTGAATTCAATTAATTGCTCAATATTTCTTCTAGTTTTCTGTTAGAAACCGCTTAAAACATTAACACATTATATAAACACACATAACTATATCTTTGAGGCCCCAGGGAAAAGAAAAACTGAACACAAAAAAATCATTCCCACCCATGTAACTGAGGCATTATACATCAGTGATGAATAAGTCACCATTACACTATCATTACAAACATGATCAAACTCAGGGAAGGCAGTGATGGAAGCATAGATTCCTTCTCACTTCAGTGTTGCGCTCACTTTTTGTTGCTTTCTTTTCCCTTCTCCTCTTTGATGCATCAAAGCGCAAGAGTGTTCCTGAGACTACCCTCACAACACCCTATGAGGTAAGCTGCAGTCCCCATTTTACAGACAGGATACTGAGTCACAAGGAGATCGACGTGTCCCGCTTGTGGCGGGGCCAGGAATGATGGCCTACGCACTTGACGTTCGTTGCTTTATTCATGGGTGACCTTCTTGGAGAGCAGATGTATCTCCTGGCTGCTGGAAATGGCCCAAATGGAGAGATTTTCCTCTCTACCTTTCCCACTGCCTGTTCCTCTTCATCCCCCAGTCTCAGTTTCGTCAGTGTCCTCTCCCTTTCCTCTGGCAGCTCTTTCGTGTGAGCTGCCTCATCTGGCTGGACAAGCGTCCTGGCTCCCTCTGAGACACTTAGTCACATCCTTCTCTTTGAAGCTCGCCTGGAAATCCTTTCACCTCCGCATAGTTGCTGCCGAGCACTTTGTGGGACACCACGCCTCAAGGTGCTGCCTTAGCAGCTGCCACAGGGCGAAACAAATAACCAGCCAAGTCAGATCCTGATGCCAATTTTGGCACTCTCACAATGTTATCTGGGCAGTTTGGATGTCAAAAGACTGAAAGATGCGGGTGGGTGGACCCTGTGACTTCCAGAAAGGAGGTGGTAATACTCAGCATCTCAGTCTCTGCACCAAGTCAAACGATGCAACACCATCAAGGAATTAATTCACCCACCACCTGGAGCATCTGCTGCCACTTTTAGCCAGTAGTGATCCTAGAAATGTTGGACTGATTGGTGTCACTCATGTGGACACTGTGGGGAAGGAGAGCTGCCTGTTGACCCCACGCCCCGATGCAGGGCACGCATTCTAAAACAGAGAAGTTGCTTATTTTCAGAAACTTGCCAGGGTCCAACCACTCAGATGCCACGTTTGGCTGTCCACAGCAGAACAACATGCCCAGCCTGGCCTCTTCCTTGCAGCTACAACATGAGAGGATGTAATTAATGGTGAGAGAACGTCTACACCAGCTGTTTTGGAGAGACGGAGGGATGAAGCAACCAGTCTCGATTTAGAACTCACAACGTCCTTACTCGCGGGTGTAACAACCTGCTGAAACCCTCGTCCCTTCTCATATGGCCGGCAGGACAAGGGCACAACGCATCACTAAGGACAGTGGGCAACAAACCACACACAGTAAAGAAAGACCTACAAGGACAAGGGGGAGGAAGAACACCGTCAGCACTGGCAGGAGGCTACAAAACTTGCCGTTTAAATGGGATACAGATCTGCCCCTCTACTAAAAAGTCAAACACAAGCCACAAAAGGGGGAAAAAAACACTCAAACACCCACCACAGAGCATCAAGAGTAGCTGCAGGTACGGTGTTTGACTCTGAGTACCCTTTCCCAGATTATAACTTGTGTGATATGTTTACAATAGTATTTTCCTGTTTTTTTAAAACTTTCTTCCTTTCCCCCTGTCCTTGCACGAGCACCTCTGACAATCAGAGAAGCTGACCACACTGATTACAGAGGAAGCATTCAGACTGATTTTGCTATCAGGCCTTGCAGAATAAACAACCTGAAACACACAAACAAGTAAGCCTTTTTTTTAATCCTTCAGATTAAGTATTTTAGCTTCTTCTGTTACAGTAAAGGCACATTCAGAATGGCTCTAAGTGGATGGTGTCTTTCTCAACTATGTTCAGAAGTGTCCCTGCATCATCACAGGATGGAAAAATAAAACCTACATTAAGTTTGTATGAAGGGAGTATAAAAGTTTAATGAGTTGGAAAGTTTTTTTGGCTATGTATCTTCCCATGATACAATGGAGAGTGCTTTTTTTTTTCCCTTGTGGGAGTGGTGAGATATTTAAGTTCTATATACTCATTGTCACCCCATCAAGTTCATAATCAACTGTTTTCATTCAGCAAGACAGCTTAAAAATATAAAATGCCAACAGTTCTTCTCTGGGGGCTTTTTATTCCCTGGAAACAGTTCATTTTTAACAAAGAAGTCAAGTTTTAGAACAGTAAATTTTGGAAAGGGAAGATCCAAGCTGCTGGTTCCCAGGATTACCCGGTTTGTATTGCTATCGCATTACATCACATCAGATGACCTATTATTGAAAATGCAGATAGCGCGTGCCAAAGTGCAAGACAACAGCAAAAAGAAGGAACCATTTCTCAAGCTTCTTTCCAATCTTTTTCCACACAAACTTGTTCAGGTTGGTCTGACCAGAGAGATGGTAAATCCAAAGCTTATTTCTGGCTGAAAATGGACGTGTGCAAGTCTCAGCTTCACAAAGCCCTGGAGGCTGAATGAAAGGAGCGTTCCATAACCTATCCTCATTGTCAGCCAGCACATCAGGAACAAGCCAGGCAAAAACAAGGACAAAAACAGGTCATGACATAAACTATAACTGGGTAAAATTCATCCTCAGGTTCACGCTGTTATTCTGACCATTCTTACTCTCTTGTAGGAGAAGATTCTTAAAGGCTACAGATTCAGGAACGCACACTGCAAGCAGAGTTGGGTCTGAACTACAGACTCTAGGAGTTTTTGTTACAACTCATTCTAAGCAGAAAGGATGTGTGCACACAAAGTGTTAACAGAGAAGCCTGCCAGTAGCTCTTTACATCCCCCTTTATAAATATTTTTAAATCCTATACAAACACAACACTATTGTTGAGCAGTTAAAAAGGCAAGAATGTCAAAATTAGGGTTATTGTGGTTTTGAATTTTGTATATTCTAAATTAGTTTTGTAATAGTCAATTTCAGAACAAAATGTCCTTGGTTTAAAAATAACACACTGCTTAGAGTACTAGTTACTTTAAAAGCAGTGCACAAGAATAACAACAATAATTAAAAAAAAAAAATTAACACAATGTGTCTATTTTGGTTACGATGCCATCCTACTTCCATTAGAGTGATTTGCATACACCTTGGAGCAAAGGAAATCTAATTCTGATGGCAGTCATTGAGATGAACTCTTCTCACATGTAGGGATTTTCTGCTTTTCTTAAGTAAATAGAATGCAGAAACAAAGGACAGCTGACATTCCTGAGTAAACACAGTTTTCTTTCTGAACAACAGCACTAAGAATTACAACATTTGGGGTTTCTTTTAAGTTCTTAGATGTTGAGGAAGTGTTAAGTCAGGTATTCAGGTGACAATCTCAGTGGTGGCCTAAGAAAGTCTTTAGCTCATGTTCTAGGAGCTCAAATCAAAAATAATAAAACATACAGCTCCAAAAGCAAACATTTTTATAATATACTCTCTGTTAAATAATTATAATTTCAGTGGCAACCTGGCTCTTTGGAAGGGGGAAAAGAAAGAGAGGGGTCACAACTGAATGAGACACAACTATTTGGGATGGAACGTTCTATGTCCATTAAATATCTGAACAATCTTTTGCACCCAAAGTGCTTCAGCTATGACTTGGCTTTGTAGGACCACTGGAACCACAATCCAGCGAAAGCAACAAGCATTCTTCACTTCTCACAATGAGTTTTGCACAAGTATTCATGAGTTAAATTTGAGTACAAAGATATTACTTGCCATTTCTTCTCAGCCTCCATGACCCCTTTTTTAGTAAAGAAAGCCCCTGAAAACTGGAGTCACTAACAGGAGATTTGCCACCATAGCAACATAAAAAGATCAGAGAAAATTTCTCCATTTTACTTCACCCCTTTCTACATTAAGTAAACAACGTTTATCATATCTGGAGCAATGAAGCTGTTGGGTAGGTCACAAATACTTGAAGCATTACCACAGCTTCCACAGTCCAACTGACAGATTAAAAGTGACTGTTATTACTAAGATATGAAATATTTCCTCAATAGTATGTAAAACAGAACAAGAAGAATGATCAGTACAGCCCAAAGAGTACAACGTACCCAT